AGGCTAAAATAGGGAAGACCAAACTGCTTGAAGCTACTTCAGTCTCAGTTTGGGGGAAATTAGGATGAAAATATTAAGCACGTCTGCTTTTTTTCAGAGCAAAACTAAAGTCTACTCTAGGGACCAATTCTAATGGAATCTATGGGACCTTTTTCTATGTGAGGTACACGCAAAAAAGATGGTGTCAAATCTCATATCATCAAGGTTTGCCATAAGACAAAAAAAATATCTGTGGGAACTAATTATTAATCACATCATATTGTTTGCAAAATAAAACAAACTGCAGAGTTTAACATAATATTATTGACAAAGATATCCATCAAATATTAACAATTTCTTACAAACATCATCAAGCCCTCATTTAAACCATCTCCACTAAAGCTGGAACAACCAGACTAATTGAAAATGGGGGGAGGGTATACGATAATTTTTGGTCCCAGCCATCATTTTATTACTATCCTAAGCTTCCTTTTAGGCAACAGTGACAGTCAACCTCCACAATCTTTATAGAAGGAAAAACAGAAAACAGACAGAAATCAAAACCTTTTTCTCCCCAAACCCATCTTGCCATTTTCTCAGGCAACAAATCAACCACATGATTTTCCCTTCTTCAACACTGGCAGAAAGGGAACCCAACACTCCATCTTGACTACTATCGCTCCGTGCAAAGCAACTTCATTCGGTTTAGACTGAAGATCAGAGATTCAAAAAAATGCCTGTGTTTTCATTTAAATTTGCAATAAAAGATTCCAGGGCAAACCTGTTCAATTTTAGCTTGCTATTCTTTCAGCCATTTCCCAAAGCCTGAAATTGCCCTACTCAAAAGCTGATCTAAGAAAAAGAGCATCCGTAGGGAGTGGATGAAAAAAACCAAGACGATGGGTACCACTGAAGCCCTGTCCTTTCTTTTGCATTTGTAACAAACACAGTAAAGGGGGGCAGGGTTTTGATTGCACTGTTGTGGAGGATATCCCTCTCAAAATGTATGTGCTAATCAATCCTGAGCCCATATACAGAGTGCCAATAGCTAAGTGGGCAGAACAAGCGGGGCCACTCTAACATCTGATCAATGCAAGAGAAAGCAAAGTGAAGGCTTGTGGTGACCACAACACATGTGATGACCTGAGATAAGGCATGAAGGCCACACAGCCAGTTGAGAATTCAACCCCCCCGCTTTTTTGTAAATTTTATTTGTGTTTTCCCAAAGAGAAAAAAAATACAAATAAAACATCTTTTTTGAAAGTAGCATAATCCCGGGTTACATTTCTTCGTACAGATGCAAATTCAGGTTCATGCTCATTTTTATAGTCTATTCCATATCTTATTACTATTTTACATTTTCTGCATAGCTTCTCCCCTCTTTTAATTTTCTCAATTTTATTTTAATTATCTCATCTCAATTCAAATCATTCTATTTATATTTTCTGTCTGTCCTGTTTCAATTATCTATTATCTTTTCTCATTAAACAAAATTTCTCCGGTAGTTACTGATTGGAGTATGACACCTTTATATCTTTTTCCTAAAGTTGTAACATTCAATATAATACGTAACTTCCATTCGGATTCTGCTTGGTACATTCTTAAAATACACATGTATTCTTAAAAAAAGAAAAAAATTACAAATGTATATAATTAAAACAACATTCCATTCCAATTCAATTCTAACATTAATATTGATATTCATTAAAGTCTTAACATCTTTAACATTACTTTTCAATTAAATATCATACTTCTATGGGAACAATTATAAGCTTTCCATAGTTAATTCCCCCCCTCACTTATATTTTATAAAACATTAACTAATTAAAATGTTCCCGTTCCTTCCTAATTCAATTTTCTCATTTATTTTATTTCACTTATTTTATTCACAAACATTTCACTAAATTACACTATTTTATCCCTCATTTTAATCATATGTTGTTTCCAATTTTCTAAAGTTATTTCTATTACTAATATAACAATACAATCTTATGTACCTTTACAGAATCCCTTTTTCAGTTAGATTTTCACCCATTATCTCTAAATAGGTCCTGTTTCTCTATATCTTGCTCCGATCCTTTGTAACTTCTTTTCCTTTCCTTCTTCCCTCTCTTCTTCTCTCCCCCTTTTACCCCCTTGTCTCTTTACTTCTATTTCTCTCTTCTGTATTCCCCTTTTCTGTTGCTTTCCAGTATTATACTTATTTTTCGAATTATTTTTCTTTTCTTTGGTTGTTTTTTTAAGTCTTAAATTCTCCATTCTCTTTCCCCCCTTTCTTTTTTCTTCCCCACATAAAATTGCTTGTTCATTAAAGATGGCTTCTTCTTTGTCCCAGTCTTCTTGTTTTGCAGTCGTTTCTTGTTGTTTCTCATAGTTCCAAATCTCCATTTCTAAGAATTGAAAAACGAAGCCAAAAGAACCCTTCCCTTCTTGTGCATCTTCTTTGTACTTTTAAAATTCCATTTTCAATTCATCCAGAAGTGGTGCCATTGTATAAATTTTTAAACAACCACCTGATTAATTTTAGTCATTCAAATATAATAACCAAGAATCCAAAGATCACCAAATAATCCAAATACACGCAAGCTTTTTTGCTCTTTTTTTTTCATTGTCTCTTTCTGGGGTTACTATTCAGTTGCAAAGTTTCAGTTAAAATGTATCTTTTAGAAGTCTTGTTGAAGTTTTATTGTAGATTCTTTTTAATTCCAGGCAGTCTCCTCCATCTTCCAGATCCTGCCCTTATTCTTTTTCTCTCCCTTCTTGCTTATGAAAAAGAACATTTTTAAAGTCCAGAAATCTTTATTATCCCTTTGGAATTTTGTTTTATTTTCAGCTTAATTGCCTATTGATGTCAAAGTGGGTTTTTCTGATTTCTTATTTAAGTCTCTTAGTTGTCAGTATAGGGAAGGAGAGAGAAGGGAAAAAAAGCCAAACCTTTCCCTTTTCACTTTCCTTCGCTGCTTCCGACTCTTCTTTGGGAGCGATGTTATTTTTTGTAAGTTTAAATTCCAGGATACCTTAGTTGTTGCTTTTACAATTTAACCCGGTCAGCCAAAACTTTCACTTCTTATCTTTCTCCTGCACATTCTTTTCCGGTCGAGTTCTTCTTTGTGGTAGCCATTTCTGACCACCGCTGCAACCGTCTTCAGGAAAGGGAGTAATGGCCAGATAGGGAGGAGAGATGCGGCTCTCCTCAACCCTGCTGGTGATCTCCCCCCTCTTCACCACCTCTACAGGGTGGCTTAGCCCCAAAACCAGCCAGCTCGGGGTGCTCCAGCGGCGAGCCCAGACAGAAACCACGCACGATCATGGATTTCTGTCTGTTGCCGAAGTCCTTCAAACCGGAAGTCCAACCCCCCTTTTTAATGCTCCAAATTTCCCCTCAAATGCTCCCACGTTCTTGGCAAGTCCCAGAGCAAAGTGCACACACACATGGCAGCCTCTGGCTGCATGCAGTCCAGCAAAGTAAAGGAACAGGGAAATGAGTCCATGAAACAAGGAACAAACATTGAGTCCACAAAAGTAAGGAACAAGGCACTGAGTCCATGAGATAAAGAAGAAGTAAGGAAGAAGCAAGCAGTCCTGCAAACTCCAAATGTCTGTAACGGCACACCAAATTCTACCAATTCAGCATTTGTTCCTGACAGACCCCAGGTGTGCCTTATGAAGAGGGGCAGGGCACTCTCTTCCCGAGTCATTGGGTTGGCCTGCGCTGTTCCCGCCTTTTCTCCACTCTCTGTGCTCAGGGAATTCCTATTCGCTGAGCATAGGAGGGGGCGGTCCTTGCTCATTGCCTGTGCTCCATTACTCCTCATGTCCACTGCTTGCCCTCTCTCAGTCATCTTGCACCCATTCCTCCCTGCTAACAAGCCGTCCCAATACTGAGGAGCCCTCCCTACATTCCTCCAAAGCCAATGAAGCCGGCCCCTCCATTGGCTCCAGCTCTCCACAGATTTAGCCTCTGATGGGGGCATGACAACACAGAAGAAAGGTGCTTTTTCAAGAGACAACTGGACTTTCTTGTTATTCTTTGAAGACATTTCACTTCTCATCCAAGAAGCTTTTTCAGTGCTAGAGTAGAAGAAGCCTTTTGGATAAGAAGCAAAAGGTCTTCAAAGAATAACAAGAAAGTCCAGTTGTCTCTTGAAAAAAAAAAACACTTTTGGGACAACCATGACTTGGATGACTGAGAAGCTCCATAAACAGAGAAGAAACTTAAGAGTCTACTAGTCAACCCTTCTTCAGCTTCTCCGCATATGGAATTGAAATTGCAAAATGCATAACGTCTATGACAACCACAGAAGCATAGAAATCTGCAAGGCTACCCTTTGGTTAGCAAACTGCTTTGATGTGATGGTTCAGTTACACCACCGAATCAAGTCACCCTTTTGAAGTTTTGCATAATGAAATGCACTTCACATTTAGTCTGGTTTTTGGATCTTGGATCCAAGTGTTCTGTGGAGATCAGTTTCTACCCTGTGCCTTTAGAATTTGAAGCCTAAAAGGATACACCCTGAAGCTTAATGCACTAGATGTATTATTCTTACTTCCCCTGCAAGATAATAGAAACAGAGGAGGGAAAGTGACAGAACAATGCAGATTTCCCTCTTTATTTCAGGATAATCGTTAACTCTTGAAAACCGTGATTGCACAATGCAACATTTTGAAATCTTCTGTTAAAGTCAATAGTTCTTCTAAATTTTAATGCCAGTGTGGGTGGCCATAGATTATTAACACAAGCGCTTATCAACTCTTGAATAAGTAGCAATATCTCCTATCTTTGGAGAAGTGTTAAGATCTGTTTGAAATCCAAATGAGGTGGAATGTGTTCAAACACTTTCTTTTTAATACATTAACTTCTCTAACCACACAGGCTACAAATCCAGCACTTAGTTTAATGGAATAATTAGTTGCCAAAAGTAGGCCTAACTGTTGGCTGATTTAGATAACCCACTAGATAAGCTTCCAAAGATCTGAGGTGTGCCATTTGATAAAGCTGAAAATATTTTGTGCTCACTCACCCACAACTTATTGATGCATTACTGACATTCTGAGGATGGGAGCTATTAATCCAAACTATTGTGTTATTCATGCATCCTTTGTTTGGGTCCTGCAGCTCTTGTTTTTCAATGTCATATTGAATAAATGTGTCCGTCATGATCCCAAAAACAATCAACATGGCTGGCTGGGCTGTTCCATGAAGAATGGCACAGATAGCCCCTGAAAGCATCATCAGTATCTCAGCTGAAGAAGCAAATCTGAACTGTAAGGAATAAGAGGCAGAGTTTGTTCATCAGTAGTTTTCACATCATTTGCTTTTATCGTACTAATCTATTATTTTTATAAACTATATAGCATTGCATCCTTTCAAGTGAAACAGGTCCCTGTTCCCAACTTCAGTAACAGAGAACCTTCTCAATTAAATTCCCCCAGCACAGATAATTGTAAAGATAATCCTCACTTAGTTACCACAAACTGGGCCCAACAACTTGGTCATTAACTGAAATGGTAGTTGCTAAATGAAATCACAACTGGGCTTACAATCTTCAGATTTCTTTTGCTTTTATAGACCTGCAAAAGATTGTAAATGTGAAGACTGGTTTTTTTTTTCATCACAGTTGTAACTGTGAAGGGTTGCTAAAGGAAGCAGATGCTAAATGATGAGTAAAACCAGTAAAATATTAAGGGAAGAAAAGAGACTTGGTTTTGTGTAGTGAAATGACTGGACTTCACTTTTGATTCTGAAAACCACTTTCCAGGCTGCACTTCTGTCATTGTTTTCTGTCTGGTTTCAGTCTGCAAATGTTGAGATTTGAGAAAGTGAAGGCCTTCCCTTCTCTTCTTCCACCCCCTTGATTTGATACCATGGTTCACAAACTGATGATACAGGAACTCAGGTTAGATACACAGTCTTAACAGATGGTGCAGAATGTATATATATATGCAAACACAAACATACATGTATCTTTCTGTTCAGTTGTATCTGATTCTCAGAGATTGCCTGGATATTGGCATTGGCAAAGGTTTTCAAAAGTGTTATACGGTAGTCTCCTTCTTAGGTCTGAGAGAAAGTGACTGCCCAAGATAGCTTTTTGTCAAAGGTGGGCCCAGAACTCCAATTTCTAGCCTGATGCCTCAACCTCCTCTAAGATGTCCCTCATAAATATAATAACAGAGTGCTTTCTTGGAAAACTGAACTTTTGTTTCTATTTTGATTGGACTAGGTTGGACTAGTTTCATCTGCAACAGATGAAATGGTGGTAGTAGATAACAAAGTTTGTGAGCCTTGCTCTCAAGAAACATATTATATGTGAAAAATAATGACAACCAGAATGCTATTACCAGCTGAAAGAATCCAATCCGAATCTCATCTTTTTTCTTGTCTGGTATCCTTTAAAGAAAGAAAAACATGGGGCATTATACATGTGGTTTTTCTCCTTCTAGTAGATCTGCTAGGACCTTCTTCAAACATCCCAAGATGGAAGACAATGTTTCTCTAGCAGCAGTTTTGCCTCACAGATGACTCCCGTTCAAATCAATCCAACAGATAAAATATTTCTCAGAGATGGAGAAGCTCCTTCCTTTTTTGCTTCATATGTTACAACCCGCAGAAGTTGTAGAACATAGAATGTAGAATAACACAATTGGAAGGGAACTCGAAGGTCATCTAGTCCAACCCCCGCTTGAGCAGGAGAGTCTATTCCAAATATTAGCCTCTACCTAGGATCGAACTCACAGCCTCCTGATTATAAGGTTAAATAGAAGGTGCTGTTTTTCTCTTGCAGCCCTGATGCTGTTAAATGGCCTCCTCAGGAAGATCAGGCTAGTTCCCACTCTATTGATTTTAAGGAAATTTTAAAGCCTGAACTGCTTCAGAGAGCCATTTCCTGAGCTGAGACTAACATTGTTATCTTTAGTTTTATATACTACCATGTCTTTGTTGTATTATTGTTGCACTGTGCATATTCTGAATTGTACCTTTTTCTTGTAATCTGCTAAAAGTCATTTGTATTGCAGCAGCATGGAAATGTGCTTCATAAATAAAATGCCTAAGCATCGTTGTACGAATTTGGTTTTCATAGGTGCCCGGTCTCATCAGTTAATTGATGGAACAATAAACCCGTTGCAGTAACATATAAAAGAGTTACACCCTTATTCTGATATCCGTAACTTTTTGGAAAGAAGTACTTTGTTGACGCATGTTAAAATCAAAGGGAAATTTTGCTAATGGCTGCATAGGCTGGCAATTATGGGAGTTGAAGTATCTGGTAATTGGAAAATAACAGGTTGGGGAAATTGATCTAATCTGAAGAGGTTAGTTTGAATTTTCTGAAAAGGTCAAATTAGTAGCTCACAACTGACATCATCACCAATTCATATCTTTACATTCTTATTCAGCGTCCTTACTTTTTGAACTTTTTACATATTAGCCACTCCTTACTGCTGTCTCAAGTGATTCTGCGGTTGCCTTGCACTCAAGCAAATTTGAAGGAACTGGAGAAACACTAGAACTTGAGGAAGTATTAGTATAACCTCGATTTCCAAATTGTGGAGAGTAATTGTCCCACGTTATATAAAAGTGGGCAGTATCTAACATGCTAAATCTGAACTCCACATATTTTTTAAAAAAACTGACTACAGACTAGAACTGGGTCAGAAGAAGGCAACAAAATGAAAATAGAGGACAAGTCCTAATAAGGATCTGGGGAAAGAAGGCTGAGGAGATCACATGATTCTGGAGTTCTTTGAGGTCTGGAGAAGTATCTTGTAGAAAAGGACTCTGGGTGATTTTCTGCAGAACCAGATTCTTAAATTACAAGAGGATAGATTTTGTACATTGGAATAAACTTCTTCATGATAACAGTACTTCAGAAACTGAACAATTATTCAGAGGGAGGGTCAAGCTATCGCTCTGGCTTTTGCACATCAAACCAAGGGTTGGACTCGGTGACCTAATGAAGAGGTCGTCTGATTATGATTTCGTAAGCCTCGTCCTGAAGTAGATAAGGGAAATGATTGACGTACTGAATGGTTACATAAGGACCGGCAGGCAACTCTTTCCAGGGAAAAAGAAAGATGTAGGAAATAATTAGTCCAAAGGCTATGATTCAAAGAATAAGAGTCTTTTTTAAAGAACTGGTTGATATTTTAAGCAGAAGCCAAGCCAGCTTGTTCAGGTATCGGAATGAGAACTACTTAATATTTTGCATTACCATATTAAAATGTTTTATTTTCTGGGCATTATTTTATCCTGCCTTCTTCTCCCGAAAAGCTTAATGGAATGAATGAAATCAGCAAAAGCACTTTTAGAAAAAAAGAAAATTTGTCTTACTTTGCGTTGTTCTTTGAAGAGGCTTCATTTTTCCCACCAAAATTCCTGCAAAAAGCAATACATTTTTCTCCTTGGGAGCAAGATTAACAGTTCAATTCTGTTCAGAGTCTGATAATCATCTTCCTCCAAATATAGTCTGCAGCTTTTTGTGTGTGTGTGTGTGTGTTATGTGTGTGTTAGAGTTCAATAAGAATATTATCTTTAAAAGAAATATTATTTGAAAAGCCTTGAAATACAAAGAAAGTGGGTTTTATTCAGAATGAGCTTTAAATGTAATCAAAAGCCTGTTCCAGTATGTTTTTCTTTTCCTTCAAAAGAGAGTGGAATTCAGGACCAGGCTTAATATACTTGGCATGCTGATTATTGATGAAGGTTGAGCACAGCGGGAAAACTGGCAGGAGTGGGAATGAGGTGAGGGGTTGTCCAAATCTCTAATAGAATACTTTACTTCAGAGGTGGTATTCAGCAGGTTCTGGCCAGTTCTGGAGAACCGGTAGCAGAAATTTTGAGTAGTTCAGAGAACCGGCAAATACTGCCTCTGACTGGAGATTTTACAGTATCCTTCCCCTGCCATGCCCACCAAGCCACGCCCACAGAACTGGTAGTAAAAAAATTTGAATCCCACCACTGCTTTACTTTGGTGAAGGTTTGGACAAAGCACTGCTTTGAACCTGAGCAACAGGGTTCCGGCTTCTAAACAGCAGAGCAAAACAGCTGCTTCGTTGGATTTGTGGGTTGAAGCAAGGGCATATACCATGGGTGTCAAACTCAAGGCCCAGGGGCCAGATCTGGCCTGTACCGTACTTAGATCTGGCCCATGGGGCCGCCCTAGAAACAGCAAAGGACCAGCCTGCAGTGCCTCTGCACGACCCTCCTGAGCTGCAATTTGGCCACGACAGCCTCCTGCAGTCCTCTGCTGGTGAAAACGGAACCCAGGTAGGCTGCTCGCAGCCCCCCGAACTCCATTTTCATCGGCAGAGGCCTGCAGGAGGCTGTCGCAGCTGAAAACAGAACCTCAACGAGTGACTTTGAGCTGGCTATGCCCACCCTGGCCATCCCTATCCAAAGCCCCACTAGGTCAAACGCAACCCTGATGTGGCCCTCAATGAAAAGAAGATTGACACCCCTGGCATACACATATAGAAGGGTATTCCTAGCTAAGGTAATCCCTAGAATAGGGACAAAATGCCTCAATGAAGTCCTCACACAGGACCTTCACAAGGTATGGGACCCAACATACTCAGAGGATCCAAGAGTCTGTCAGAGAGCAAAACAGCTTAGAATATAAACGTTGAGAGGTGAGCATGCTTAGCGACCAAGGGATGTAGAGAGGGGATGAGGAGGGAGGAGAGGCAGAAAAAATGAGCTGGAATGTCCTAAGAAATAGCCAGAGTAGATGACATTTAGAAGAACTAGAAGCTCCACATCCAACATATTTTGCAGGTCTCACTTCTACACCCTCCTAGAGCTCTGACTTACGTTGCTTTCCTGATGCCATTATCTGTTGGGGAAGAAATACACGAAAGTTAATATGGAAGTAAAATCTTTAGCGAGATATTTTTCTTTCTCCTACCAATCACTATATGCATATACTTGCTTCTGGCTTTCTTCACTACATTAACCTTTTCATTGAGCAATGCAGCGCTTGACTTTTGTAAAACTTCAGAATAGACCAAATTGAAACATCTTCAGTTTTGGTTTTGTTTCACTAAACTGGTTCCTTATGCACGAGGAAGGGCGACAAAGATGTTAGTTTTGACCTTTGTCTTTTTAAGAGGAGTAGGAGGAAAACTACTTCCTCAAGGAAAAAACAATCCAGTTACCTTTTGAAAAAAGCACTTTTGAGATAGGAGGAAAACTGGCTTTCTACATTTAACTAATTCAAAAATCCTTGTATGACTCCTCCTCAAATCCCTTATGGTTACAGTTATCTTGCCTTTGCCTACTCAAACATCTAACTCTGCCCATTTTATAAAGCATTTTATTTTAGATTTCCACCCTGCTTTTTCTGGTGTGTGTTTTTTAAATAATCATGATGACTTAACAGTGAGTGAAAAAAAATACAAAATGAGAATATTAATACAGTTACAATTGGAGTTGAAATTAAACATTAAAATGCATTAACTATTATAAGTTTGGTAGATGTCTTTTTTTTTTCTATCTTCCTGAATATTGGGCCAAACACAGCTTCCCAGGGAGTATGTCCTTCCACCTGATAATTTCTCAGGAGAAGGCCCCATCTAGTGTAACAGGCAGGCAGAGTTTTGGCAGTAAGGAAGAGAAAAGGTCCTTAAAAAGACCTTTTCTACTGACCTAGCTAGGTAACCAGGCAGGTAAACGCCTGGACTCCAAGCCATTAAGAGCTTTAAAGATAATACTGATATCTTTAAGGCTAGATGTTCAATAAAGGTAATGGCACTTTAAAAACAAAACAAAATCAGTCTATATACTGCATGTCACTGTGAATATATCCTGCACTGCACTCAAATGGCTACTGCAATTTAAAAGTATACATTTATGTGAAAAACAGGGTATGTGCAAGACTTTGGATTTAAAGCAGGGGTGTCAAACTCGCAGTCGGCTGGGTGTATTTTCCCGTTTTAGTGAAGTGGGGAAAAGTTGTGATAAATAATGTAACAACAGCGTGTCATCGCGAGTTCAACCCCCCTGATTTAAAAGGAAAAATATGCATGGACTTGTAAGTATTCTTCTAGGAGAAGGTGCAACTTTAAAAAGCTGTTGAGAGGGTTTGTTTTTAAATTTTAGTTAAATCAGCAGACCAGTTTTGTTGTTTTCAGTTATGCAAGCATTATTCTGATCCCCGTAAGCTGTTGAAGACTATTATTTATGCCAAAAAATTAGCAATCAGTCTTTTCATGACCATCTAATTCAACACACATTTGTTTAAATAAACAAAAAGGGAGAAGATTTGATTCATGTTCCTGTAAATTAGGATCTAATCTATTGTTAATGTTACTTTACTATAACAAAGCAAAAGCAAAATAGTAGAGAAAACATTGTAATAAATTGTAAACATTGTAATAAACAATGACCATACAATAAATCATAATCAAGGAATGATATGAACAAATCAAGAAGTGTCCAAAGACTTACGTGACTCATTTGATTCAAAGGCCAAATTATCTTCTCCAATTCTCTTAATACTGCACAAAGTAACTGGTTCAGGCATGATCCGTTTCTTTCAATTCCTACAAAAATCCAAGAAATTGTGATTCTGTTGTGGGCTAACATCAAACTCTAGAATGAGCTTCAGTAACCTAGCAGATCTCTTGTGCTTTGTGGCAGCCTTTTATTTATTAAATAATAATAATAATCAAAACCTGTTAGTAGGTTGAATCTCAACAATAAACATCCACAGAATAACTAACTTTAAAAACAATATTTAATAACTGAAGTATGGATAAAATAATACAACTTATCAAAAAGCAACAAAATAGGTGATATCTACAACCGAACGGAATTAAACAGCTCCATTTTAATAGTTTTCTGAAACAAACAAGGTAGGAGCTGAGGCTAGGGAGTTCAATAGCATCAGCATCATCACCAAAAAGCCACATCTGGGGCCTTCCATCCCATCATCAATCACCCAGAAATGGAGCCTGCTAATAGATTTTCCCAGGAGCATCGATGAAATTGAGTGGAGGAGATGGTCCTGGAGATATCTCAGTGTCAAGCCACATAGGGTTTTAAAGGTCGAAACCACTTTGAATCGTCAAAGCACCTAACAGGAAGAGAGTGCAGAGGCCCAGGACACAAAGTGTACTGTGCTCATCTTGGTAATTTTCTAGCAACAATTAGGCCATCGCATTCTATACTAATTGAAGCTTCCAAGTGGTTTTGGTTTCAGGAGAGTAGTGATAAGGGCACAAGTCATTGTTGTGAGCTCCTCTTAATAAAGGATTATCCAATAATTCTTAGTATTCATTTGATTAAGGCATCCTTATATCCATTCAGCCCATCATTGCCCAATAAGTGCATCATGAGCAAAGTCATGGAATCAATCATTAACCAATCCATAACCCTCCACTTAGAGTCAACTAACTACTCTCCAAAAAACAATTTGGTTTCAGGAAAAAATTGTTTTGTAATCTATTCTACTTGACCAGGGTAAAGCAATAGATGCAATTTACATAGACTTCTGCAAAGCCTTTGATTCAGTGGTACAGGACAAACTACTGTAAAAACTAAACTCTTACAGCATTTCCAGATCCTTCCATAAGCGGATTACTGTGTTCCTGTCAAGCAGGCAACAAATAGTAAAAATAGGGAGCGCTATATCAAGCCCTGCTCCAGTTAACAGTGGTGTCCCCCAAGGCAGAGTTCTAGGACCCACACTTTTTATACTCTATATAAACGACGTTTGCAATCACCTTATAAGCAACTGCATTCTTTTCACTGATGACGTAAAACTATTCAACACAACCAACAATGCTACTGTCCTTCAAAGAAACCTTGATTATGTGTCTGAATGGTCAAACAATTGGTAACTCCAAATCTCAACCAACAAATGTTCTGGCCTACACATTGGAAAAAAAAAATCAGTACACCAAATAAAGGCTAGGCAGATATAATTTTGTTAATGACTCTCACTCTGTCTAGGACCTTGGACTATTCATTTCAAATGACCTAAGCACCAGAGCTCACTGTAACAGCATTGCCAAAAAGGCATTAAGAGTTGTAAATATAATCTTATGAAGCTTTTCCTCCAGTAATATTGAATTGCAAACTAGGACATACAAACCTTTGCTAGACCAATACTCGAATACAGCTCATCTGTCTGTATCTGCACTGTACAGGCAAAACTCGAAAAATTAGAATATCGTGCAAAAGTTCATTTATTGCAGTAATGCAACTTAAAAGGTGAAACCAATATATGAGATAGACTCATTACATGCAAAGCAAGATAGTTCAAACTGTGATTTGTCATAATTGTGATGATTATGGCTTACAGCTCATGAAAACCCCAAATCCACAATCTCAGAAAATTAGAATATTGTAAACAGGTTCAATATTCTAGGCTCAAAGTGTCCCACTCTAATTAGCTAGTTAAGCATAACACCTGCAAAGGGTTCCTGAGCCTTTTTTTTTTTTTTTTGAACAAATTTTATTGATTTTCCAAAACAATACATAGACAAATAAAACATAAAATATAATGACATAGGAATTTTTTTTCTTTAAAAAGCCAATACAACAACTTATTTAAAGACAGAATTATTCCAAGTTATCACATTTCCAAACAAGCACAATTTGATATATATATTTACCTTATCTGTTCATCTTCATATCTTATCCCAAACTTCTCTTTATTACTTCTTTTCCTTCTATTTATTCAAATTATATCTCTTTAACTTTAGATTGTATACATTTTTTATATCCATCTGTCTTATACATTTTCATTATTCTCTTCCAATAAAAAACAAACAAACAAACAAGACATAAAACATAAAAACATAAACATTTTTCTGAAAGTTGCTTAATCCCGGGCTAAAACTCATCATACAGACACCTCTTCAAAAATCATGTTCCTTTTATATATCATTCCATTTTCTATATAGCTTCTTCCTTTTTTTAACTCTCTTAATTTTATTCTACTCATCTCAGTTCAAGTCATAATACTTAACATTCTTTGTCTGTTCTCAACTATCCATTCATTTTTTCTCTTTAAACAAAACCTCTCCTGTACACTAATTAGAGTATGACGCCTTTAACTCTTTCCCCTAACCTGATAATACTTAATATCACACATAACTTGTATTGGGATTCTGTTTAGCACATCCTAAAGTCACACAATATATTATATAAAGAGAAAAAGAAAAATTTTAATCGTACCTATTAATACTTATTTATATATTTATATCTTAAACATTTTATTCTATAAATGCCTATAATAACACAATCTTATGTACCTTACAGAATCCCTTTTTCAATTAAATTTACCCATTGTCTATAAATAAATTTTGTTTCTTCAAATCTTGCTTCCCATCATTGAAACTTCTCACCCCTTCCTTTCTCCCTTGCTTCTTTTTTTCCTTACCCTGTTCACCCCTTTGTCTTTCCACCTGCCTTTTCTTCTTGTGCTTTCCCCCTTCCTGTTGTTTCCTAATCTTATATCTACCCTTCAACTCATTTTTATCTTTTTTGGTTGTTTTTTTAAGTTTTAAAATCCCTTTTTCCTTTTCCTCTTCCTCCTTCTTCTCCCCCAGTAGGGTCACATGTTCATCAAAAATGGTTCCTTCTTTGTCCCAATTATCCTGCTGCGCAATCAATTCTCCATAGGAATGCACCGCCATTTCTAGAGATTGAAAAAGAATGTCCAAGGTATCTTTCCAGTCTTGTTCTTCCTTTTTATATTTTAGATATTCAGTTTTAAATTCATCCAAAAGTGGTGCCATTATGAAGAGGAAAATTTTTTCCCAAAACAACCACCCGAGTGTTTTTAAACAAAGAAAAAAAAAGTTTCCCGAAAGATGCAAAGTCACCAAACAATCCAGATAAACTATTTCATTTAGCACTTTTCCCCTTCTTCCATTTCTTTTTCTGGTGTTGCTATTAAATCACAAAATTCCAATTATAATATGTCTTTTGAAGTCTTATTAATGTTCAAATGGCTCTTTAACATTCTAGGCAGTCTGCTCCTTATTTTCAATTTCAATTTTTTTCCCTCTCCCTTCCCACTCACAGCAGAAGAAAAAAATTTCTTTAAATATTTAGAAATCCATATCCCTTTGGCATTAGCACAATCTTTAGCATTTAGCATACCTTCAATGCGGGTTTCCGATTTATCTCAAGGCTGTTCCGTTTGGAAGGAGAGTGAAAAGAAAAAAAAGTTTTCCCTTTGATATCCATTCACTGCTTACTCAGTCTGGGAACAATGTGTCTTTAGTAGGTGTTAAATACCAGGATACTTTCACTGTTCCTTTGTCCCGGTCAGCAAAATCAGTTTCATTTCTTCACAAACCCCTCCAGCACATTTCTTTCCCCGGCTGGGCTCTTCTAAATGGCGGCCATAAAAGATCGCCGTTCAGTTGCCGTCGGAGAGGGAGATTTAGCCGGCTAGGGAAGAGAGATGCGATGTCTCTCGTCCCTGCCAGAACCCCCCAGTCTTCACCACCTTCTTCAAAGGTGGCTTAGCCCCGAAGCCAAATGGCTCGAGGCACTCAGGCAGTGAACACAGGCAGAAACCGTGCAGAGCCACGGAATCCTGCCTGCACTGAAGAACCACAAGCCGGAAGTGTCCAGGGTTCCTGAGCCTTTAAATGGTCTCTCAGTCTGGTTCAGTAGGAAGCACAATCATGGGAAAAACTGCTGACTGACAGTTGTGCAGAAAACCATCATTGACACCCTCCATAAGGAGGGAAAGCCTCAAAAGAAGTTGGATGTTCCCAAAGTGCTGTATCAAAGCACATTAATAGAAAATTATGTGGAAGGGAAAAGTGTGGAAGAAAAAGGTGCACAAGCAGCAGGGATGACCACAGCCTGGAGAGAATTGTCAAGAAAAGGCCATCCAAAAGTGTTGGGGACTTTCACAAGGAATGGACTGAGGCTGGAGTCAGTGCATCAAGAGCCACCACACACAGATGGATCCTGGACATGGGCTTCAAATGTTGTATTCCTCTTGTCAAGCCGCTTCTGAACAACAAACGTCAGATGCGTCTTACCTGGGCTAAAGAAAAACAGAACTGGTCTGTTGCTCAGTGGTCCAAAGTCCTCTTTTTCTGATGAGAGCAACTTTTGCATCTCATTTGGAAACCAAGGACCCAGAGTCTGGAGGAAGAATGAAGAGACACTGCAAGATGCTTGAAGTCCAGTGTGAATTTTCCACAGTCTGTGTTGATTTGGGGAGCCATGTCATCTGCTGGTGTTGGTCCACTGTGCTTCATTAAGTCCAGGGTCAACACAGCCCTCTACCAGGAGATTTTGGAGCACTCCATGCTTCAGTCAGCTTTATGGGGATGCTGACTTCATTTTCCAGCAGGACTTGGCACCTGCCCACCCTGCCAAAAGCACCAAAACCTGGTTCACTGACCATGGGATTACTTTGCTTGATTGGCCAGCAAACTCGCCTGACCTGAACCCCATAGAGAATCTAGGGGGCATTGCCAAGAGAAAGATGAGAGACATAAGACCGAACAATGCAGAAGATCTGAAGGCCGCTATTGAAGCATCCTGGTCTTCCATAACACCTCAG